TCCGGTGCGCAAGGTGCACAACAAGAGATTTGATCACAATGAAATTCTCGCTTCTCAAAGGAAACAAGAACCAAAAGCCAGATATCTCATCAAAGTGAGATATCAGCTCTTCCTCTCGTCAGCTCTAGGACTGCGTGTCGAGGGAACCTACAAGCTATTACAAATCACAGCAAGAACACAAATTTTACGTGGTTCGGCAAATTGCCTACATCCACGGGGCAAGGAGGGGGAGATCTACTAATAGAGGGAGAGATACAATTGGGGTTTACAATCTCACAAATAAAACCCTCTCACAAACTCTCAGATCCCTCACACAAATATTCTCTCAAAAGGGGATACACAAGTAAAAACAACAAAGCTCCTTGCGCTCTGTACTGCACGCTGAAAAGAATCCCCATCCGAAAATAAACAAATGCTTTCACACGCTCCCAAATCAACCGCCTGCAATCTTTTCTCACCTCTGCCTCCTTTTTTCACCTTGCACGAAAACCTAGAGCAAAAGACTTGCCGCCTGCAATCTTTTCTCACCTCTGCCTCCTTTTTTCACCTTGCACGAAAACCTAGAGCAAAAGACTTGGTATTTATATGAACGTAGGTAATCGGGTGGGCCGTCATTTGTCTTCTCTTCACGCGGTAAGTGAAACCGCGTTGCTGCTCCTCACGCAAGTTTCCAGCACGTGGACCCCACTCCACATTCTGCTCCTCACACGATTTTTTTCAAAACTCGTGGACCCCACTCCACGTTCACAATTCTCCACCTCGGTAAAGTTTTTCTAAAACCGATCCGATACCAACCAAAACAAATGTCTCACTTGTTGCATCTAGTACGCCACGGCAACGGACTCATGAAAACGGACTCCAGCCACACAAGTCAAGACTCAAACGGGAGTGCGAACACTCACCCAAACGTCGGTATCTACTCACCAAATCGATCTCACCCCCATCAACTAATCCAAACCCGGCTGCATCATAAAGACTGCCCTTATTCTTCTCGGCTCGATCTAACTTTGGGTATTCGGCTTTTCAATGTCCATCCTCTTTACAAAAGGCACACTGATTCCTTCGAATCCCACGATGTGCACTTCTAGACTGCGACCTCCTGCTTCGGTTTGAACCACGGCCATGAACTACTAATGCATCTCCCGATGCCTTCTCGGAGGACTCATCCACACTCTTCCTTAACTCATAATTCACTAACGCTGAGGTCACCTCCTTGTAACTAACAGTAGTTCTTCCATTAATCATAGTTAGGACAAAAGTACCATAATCATCCTCGGGCAACGAACACAAAAGTAGCATCGTCTTGTCTTCATCCTCAACCATGATATCCATATTGGCCATATCTGAAAGTAGCTTTGTGAAGTTGTTAACATGCTCCCTAATGGAAACTCCCCTCTTCATCTTGAACTGGTAAAACCTCTTCTTCAAGTGAAGCTGATTCTCAATGCTCTTAGTAATATACTTTTCATTGAGTGTTTCCCACATCTTCTTCGCCGACGTCTCGTTCATCATGTCATAAATAAGATCCGGCGTCAAGCATGACCGAATAACTCCACACGCCCTACTATTCATCTTATTCCAAACCTTATCTTCCATCTCGGTAGGTTTCTCTTGTAACTTAAGAGTCTCCTTCAAATTCTGAGCGTTAAAGGCATCCATCACATGACACCTCCACAATCCGAAATTAATATTGCCGTCGAACTTCAGAATATCAATCTTCATGTTATTGATGCTCAAACTATGTATCGTCTTCGTAAGAGATGATCCCGATGTGCTTGTTTCACCCATGTTGTCGATCTAATCTTCAAATAGGAATCCTTCAGCGAATCCTTCAAACAAGCTCCCAAGTCCAACCCGGAGCTCTGATACCACTTGTTGTGCGCAGCGAAAATTTCGGCAGCACCTCCGGTGCGCAATGTGCACAACAAGAGATTAGATCACAATGAAATTCTCGTTTCTCAAAGGAAACAAGAACCAAAAGCCAGATATCTAATCAAAGTGAGATATCAGCTCTTCCTCTCATCAGCTCTAGGACTGCTCGTCGAGGGAACCTACAAGCTATTACAAATCACGGCAAGAACACAAATTTTACGTGGTTCGGCAAATTGCCTACGTCCACGGGGCAAGGAGGGGGAGATCTACTAATAGAGGGAGAGATACAATTAGGGTTTACAATCTCATAAATAAAACCCTCTCACAAACTCTAAGATCCCTCACACAAATATTCTCTCAAAAGGGGATACACAAGTAAAAACAACAAAGCTCCTTGCGCTCTGTACTGCACGCCGAAAAGAATCCCCACCCGGAAATAAACAAATGCTTGCACACGCTCCCAAATTAGCCGCCTGCAATCTTTTCTCACCTCTGCCTCCTTTTTTCACCTTGCACGAAAACCTAGAGCAAAAGACTTGGTATTTATATGAACGTAGGTAATCGGGTGGGCCGTCATTTGTCTTCTCTTCACGCGGTAAGTGAAAACCGCGTTGCTGCTCCTCACGCAAGTTTCCAGCACGTGGACCCCACTCCACATTCTGCTCCTCACACGATTTTCCCAAAACTCGTGGACCCCACTCCACGTTCACAACATACTCCTATGATACATTGATGAAGTACCACATAAATAAACATGCTAGATGCCCATGTGAACTCATAGATTTATGGAGCGTTATCATGAGCAAATTTGTACCATGCACAAAATATATATGGCAGAATCTTACTTTCTTATGTATCCTACTCTATTTCATGATTTCATTGTGCAGCTTATTCAAACAGGTTATGTTTATGATTATGAGACATTTGAAAGATATCCAAACACTTTTTAATAAGGTATTCAGATTGAAAAAGGAAGTACCACTACTAGAAAATGGATTATTGCCTACAGATATTTAGCGACGGAATTTGCCGTCGCTATAAGTTCGGTTATAGCGACGGAAATTCCGTCGCTATTAATCCGTAGGCAAAAACCTTTATAGCGACGGAAAATTAATTTTTAGCGACGAAAATGTTCCGTCGCTAAATTATTAGCGACAATGTTCATTTCCGTCGCTAAAACAACTATAGCGACGGAATTACCGTCGCCGAAAAGATTTTTAGCAACGGAATTATCCGTCGCTAAAACATTTCGGTGTGAAAAAAAATTTGGGCGCGGGCGCCCAAAATTTTGGGCACCCGCGCCCGTTTTTACCGAAACCAAACCCCCCCCTTTCTCTCAGATCCCGACCCCCCTCCTCTCTTTCCCCCTCTCTCTCGATTCCGACCCCCCAAACCTCCCCTCCTTCGCCGCCTTCACCATTGCACCCATCACCTCTCTCCTCTTCATCTCTCTTCAAGCCCCCTGACCTCCGAACCCATCAACCAGTGACCACCATCACCACCGAGCGCCGCCCCGCCTGCAGCGTCATCGCCTCCCCGCTGCTCCTCCATCACCGTGCCTCCGTCACCAGTGCTCCTCCCCAACTCTGCTGCTCAGCCTCTCGCCATCGCCCCTATCATCACCGCCTCCCACCGCCACGACCAGCCCTCCTCTCCTCTCAGTCACCGCCTCCAAGCCGCTACCACCTCCAGCACCTCACCGCCCCTCAATCCGCCACCAGAGCCGACGCCGACGACCTGAGAACCACCAGTGCCCAAGCTGAACTCCGATCGTTCCCGTCCCTCTGTCCTCCTCCGCCGTTGACAGCACCCGACGTCGCCGACAACCCCGGCAGCCCTCTCCGCTGATCCTCTCTCCCGTCGCCGCCAAGTCCAACGCCACGAACCAAGGCAAGTCCTATTCAGACTTGCTACTCCCTGTATTCTTTTGAATTATATACTGACTATTAGTATTTATTGGATGATTAACTCCTACAACATTAATTAGTAACATGTTATATGTTGTTTAAAGATTATACATAAGCGTAGTGATTGTGTGGGGTTATCGTAACTATTATATCGCTAATTACATAGAAATTGCACACACTGTACACTCATATTTTCGAGCCGTAGAATACCCCGTCCAATA